TTCTATGAAGAATTTACAATTTTCATTTAAGTCAAGTAAGATATGAGCATGATTTGAATCATTTTGTGAAACTAAATTAAGTTGTGCAAGGTATATCGCTTTAACAACCAATGATGATGAATTTATCTGAATAACTGTTTCTTTAAAATGTTTTGTGACTTGAATAGATGTAGGGTATTGAATAACAATCCCATTTCTTTTTCCATTAAGAAGTAATAAAATAGATTGGGCACTAACTACACCTTGGGTAACTTCAATTTTATCGTTAATAAAAAGATTTTTAATGATTGTAAATGAACTAACTAAATATTTAAAGCCAACATTTAATGCTGAATAATTAATGGTATTACTAAAGATTATTTTAGAAGGAATAAAGCAACAATTTTTATTTTCTTTGACTTTACTAAATTGTGAAATTGGATGATAAACCTTTCCTGTTTGTGAAGTAATTTTATTGAAAACTATTGTTCTCCTTTCTATTGAACTTACAACCAACCTTTCGTAAAACCCATTGATAGGAGGGTCAATATAAAAATAACCATCTTTATCAATAACATTACTCCACACTCCATTACTAATTGAATAAAGACGTTCATTTGTATTATACACTAATATTGTTAAAGTTGTTGAATTAGAACGAATAACAATTAACGATGGTAATACTACATAATTACAAGAAGAATAAGACATAGCTATTTGAAACCCTGACTCTTCTTTTTCTGAAACTAATTTCTTTGCAACAATATCATTTACAAGAATAATATTATTTAATATATTATCATTAGTATCAGATCCGTTATATGTAAACCATCCAGAAATCATACATTTATAAGGCATTAATGATGGACCAATAATTTCAATACATTGACCACACCTAGAAATTGTATGATTATATAAATGAATATATCTTTGCTTTGAATAAACATAACAATCATCAGAAATATTAATCCCATATATTTCACTTTTTCTATTAGGCAATTCACTATAACAATATTCCTTAGTAATATGAGAAGAAAATTTTTCCATACTTTTACTTAAAAGCATACTATCTGATATTGCTTCAACTTGAGTAATACAAGGAGTATTAATAGATTCAACAAAAGCATTTGTGCATTGAATGTAAATGTAAAACAAAAAAGAATGAATGATGGATTTTAATGTTGTTACCATTAAGAAGAAAATATATAATTTGTCTCTTAAATCTTTTTAAAAAAAATATCACAGAAATAAATAATTTAAAATACTATAAAAATACTATAACTTGATAATAAAATAATAATCAAATTCAATTTTGACGTTTCTTTGATATGGCACATGCAAGTTTAGCATATTCAAGTAAATAACCATCTAATTTTGAAATAGCATTTTGAGCTATTTCTTTTGTTGAAACATTAATAAAACAATAATCACGTCTTTCTCCAGTAACATAATCTTTTGGGAAAAAGATTCTTAAAATTTCTTTTTCATTACCAACAACTTTATGATATAACGCTTTAATAACAGTCTCATCAACTGAAGCTGGAATATTTGATAATCTAATTGAAACATCTGGATTATAATCTCCATCAGCTTGTCTACGCATATGTACTGGAACATATATATTAGGATCAGCAGCTTTTTGTTGTGGTTCTGATGAAACTTTACGACTGTCTTTGTGTGGACAATTGAAAAAGAAATGACCTTTTTCTCCACAACCAGAACAAATAACATCTTCTTCTGATTTTTTGACTTCTTCTTCATCAACTTCTTGTTCTGCTAATTCAGCTTGAGCAATTTGTGATGGGAAAACTAAAACAATATCTTCTGAATCACTTGGAACTTCAAGTTTAGTAAACTTTTGAATATTTTTTCTACGTTCTACATTTTCACTAATTGCATAGATACGTTTAATAATAATTTCATCTCCATTAGTTTCTTCTTCTTCTTTTGGGAAGAAAAATGCTAATTGTTTTTCAGTCAAAACACTTAACCCTTCTTTTGGCATTTTATTTTATTTCTTTTTCTAGTTTTTTTCATTACTTTTCTTTTATTATTTTAAAACTATTATTTTACTATTAAACTGAATTAACAAAAAAAATCATTACAATTTACTTCGTTATTTCACATTGTTGTTGTTGCTGTTGTTGTTTGTGTTGTTGGTATAATTCCAGATTCATTAGTACTAAACATGGAAGTAATAATACTCCAATAGCAACTATACAAACAAGTAGTGAAAAGAATGGATGAATAAAAAATTCACCATGTGTATCATATGGGAACCATTTCATATCGAATGCATTATGGTCTTCTGTTGCAACACAACATACTACATAAAATAATAAACTTGCTATCATGAAGTAAAAAAAAAGAGATAATGAAATGCCATTTTAATTAAAAAAATGATATTATAAAATAAATTTATTATTAATTATAGTTTCTTTTAAAAATACCCTGTTAATATTGTGTGATATAAACCAGAAAAAAAAAGAAAAGCAAAAAGAAGAGAATTACAACGCTGAGCATATGGATAAAACCATGATTTGAATTGTTGTTCCAATTATTGAACCAAGAGATATAATAATTAAAGTAACATTAGTACCAACTTTTTCTTCTACATGTTTTGAAATTTTAAGTATTGAATGAGTTACAAGATAACCTTGGGTTATACCTAGTAAAAGAGCACACACTATATTAATGAAACCAAAAAAATATCCAGTGCTTTGAACCAATGGATCATTTTCATTGTCATTAATAACAAATAAATTGCCAATGTTTATTACTGAACAAAATAATGTAAATATTGTTAACCGTGTAATACTTGAACCAAGTAATGATTTTTTTGATGGTTCAATTGGTAAAAATGTTAGAATAGAACCAATTAAATCAAATGCAGTAAATACAAATGTTACAAGATTTAGATGATAAGTATAATGAGGATTATCAACTACTCTACCATCATAAGTAACTGTTGTTACACTAAAATTATTTAATATTCCTGGATAAATATAACTTGAACAAATTGAAACAAGAAGAAGAGAAAGAGCAGAATATTTTAATGTTACAACAACATTCTTAATTTCTAATAAAGATGCTTTTGTAGATAAAAATAATCTTCTAAGTCTTGATGGAATTCTATTATTAATAGAAAGGAATGAAGTCTCTTCAGTGATATGAAACAAAGAATGAAAATGTGGAATAGTTTTATAACAAAAGAAGAAATAGACAATAATTATTAATGGAGCAATTAATACACCAACACAAACAATAATAAGATACACCCATTTATTTGATTCAGTAGATGTAGTATCAATAAGATTAATTAATGAGGCTAGAAAAGGTCCACCTGAACTACCAACCATATAAGCAATTAAATGTTGTGGTGAAAGTGTTGAAGAAATATAAATAAATGTAGAAAAGTTAATTGCAGATAGACATCCATTAATTAATGAAAGTACTGAAATTGCAATACTTTGAACAGTGTGCATTGTGTTTTGATCTAAATGATTAAACAACTTCATTACAGGAGGAAATAAAGGAATCATAACAAAAGTTAGTACATATTGTCCAATTAAAGAAATACATGAAAATGAAAAATATGGATATTTAGGAGTTACAAATGATAACAATACAAGAAATGCAATTGTAGTTCCATTAGAAAGATAAAATAAGTTAGGGAGATAATAAAATAATGATACTTCACCTAATTTTGTTCCAATTTCAATTGATGCTCCAGCTGTAATATTTCCATGAAAATTATAACAAACCCCTAACAAAAAGCAAAGAATGAATGTTAATGTATTATGTTTCTTTGATAAATCAGGATTTAAAAATGAGTGTTTTATAGGTCTTTGTATTGATGAGTCAATACTAATTTCTGATGCATTAGTTAATTGTAGTCCATCAGTTGAATAAATATAATTACTATCAGAATAATATGTGGATGGTTGTAACATTTATTAAAAATGTATTAAAACTTTATTATAAGTTTATCTATTTTTTTCTCAAAAAATTTTTTACATTGATTTTTTTGTTATTATTATTATTTTTTTATTTGTTATTTTGTTTTTTAAAACATTTTAACATAAAATTTTTTAACACAAAAGAATTGAATGAAAAGAGTTAATAACAAATTTTATTTGACATAGTCCAACATAATAAGATAATTAATAATCTTCCTCAAATTGGACTACATGAACAGCTTTCGGTTTTACACATGGGTAAAATGATTCGAGTGGAAGATAAGAATCATCTTCTTTCCATTCATTAGGATTATTGATACATATAGAAAAGAATAAATTAACATCATTATTTAAATCACAATCTTTTCTATTATAAATATCATCTGGTTCAAGTTCAGTATTATGTTTATTAAGGTCTTGAAATTTAGAGCGTTTCAATGGTGAAATCATTGTAAAATGTGTTATTTAGTTCAGGTTAAATGGTTTTATAGACAAAATCTTTCGTTTCCTAAAGTACTAAGTTCATACAAAATAGGTTCTTCTAATGCTTCTACTGACTTTTCTTGATTTTTATGCTTCATTTTTTTCACATTAATTTCTATTTATTCCTTTCTACATTTTCAAAATTAGTATTACAAAAATGACGTTCATCTTCTTTTCCATTTATTTTTTCCTTTTACAATTAAGTTTCATTATTTTGTTTAGTATTTCAATAAAAAGTTCAATGTAAAAGTAATATTTCAGTTATTGTTTGTTAATAGTTATTTTATATTAAAATATTTAATTAACAGAAGTTTCAAAAAATTCATTTCACGCACCTGAAAGATATTATTTTGATAGGTATTTTTTGTTATATAAAACGGAATATTCGTATTAAAAAAAATGAAAAATTAAGAAAGAAAGAAAAATTCTTCATTGAGAAATCTTTTGAGATTTTTTTTCTTGATTTAAGAATTTTTTCTGACTCTTAGAGAGACACTTTATAATCTTCAGAAAAGGTTTTTCTTTGATTAAGGTTATAACTTAGATTTATTGAAAATATCTAAATATTATCTATTTCTAATGAATAGTGCAGTGTTAGCCCTTCAACTAAGTACACCCCCTATTGTTATTTCTGAACGCCACTCACCACCATTAGCTGTTCAAAACTCACTCCAAGGAATGAGTGAAGCTATAGAAAGTTCTTCTTCTCTTTCAGGATCTGCAACTGTATCTCCAGCATTATCTCCTAGAATAGAAACAATTAAAAAAGATACAGAGACAGACGACCAATTATATCAATTACAATCAATGTTATTAACACCTCCATCATTTTTACTTCAGGCTTATATAAAAGCAGTTTGTCATTTTATTCTTTTATTTTTATTCCTTATAAAGTTTTTAAACCTAAACCAATTAAAATTGAGATAAATTTACCACTAGCTATTAAAGAAAGAGACTAGTGACTCTTCTCATTTTGACATATTATTTCATTATTTCAAATGCAGAAAGCAAGTACCAAGATTACTTTATCAAATGGCAGAACTTGAAATTGAATGGACTAAGAAGTGTAATCCATTATTTAGAGGAAATACAGCTTTCACAAAGGCATATGCATTGTATTTAAAAGAAAGTTGTGAAATAATTATTGAAAATATTACAAATAAATTTAATGAAGTAACACAAAGAGTTCAAACTGACCAAAGTTTATTAAATGAAGTTGAGCAAGAATATGCTATTTCAACATATTGTGGATTATTAAAAGAAGCACTTAGTAATATTCCTAAAGACTTATTTTATATATTAAATGGTATTTATTCATTAACTAAATTAAAGAGAAATGAAGAAGAAGCAAGAAAAGCAATTAACACTCTTCTTTTTATGAGGTTCCTTTACACACCACTTATTCAATCACCGTCTTTATTTAAAAAAGTACAGACTATTATATCTTCTATTGTATTAAATAAAGAGGTTAAAATAATAGATAAGAATATAGAAGGGATTGATGAAATAATTAATTCAATCATTAAAGGATGTTATGTTCTTTCTACACCACCTATATCAAGTTATGAAGAAGAACTGGAATTTACAGGAAAAGAAATGATGAAAACACTTCAATTAAACAAAAAGAAGATAATAAAAAAGTATCTTGGAGATGATAGAGATCTTAACTTTATTATTCAAACAAGTTCTAAAAAACAAACGCATACTGAAAATTTTATCACTCATTTTATGAAATAAAAATTGGTTGTATTAGAAAGAGAAATAATTTTAATATCTATTATTATAATTTAATCTTTATATAAGAATTTGTATTAATACGTTGGTTTAATAAATAAATTATTGTATACAATTAAAGAAGACAAATAAATATATATAAATAATATTCAAAGAATGTTTGTTAAGGTATTATTTTTAAATATAAAATACTACTTATATTAATTTTATTCATTGTAATTGTTTTATTTTAAAATGTTATCTTAGTAGAAATATTTTTGATGAGTTATGTTTTGGGTATTCATTATATTTTTCATTTGACATATTTTTTATTACTTAAGTTATATCTTTCTATTTAAAAGGTTGTCCATTCCTTATTCATTATTCTCAACATGATTTATAAGTAATTATTTAAATTATTGATAAGTAATTCCTGTTTTAATAAACCTCATTTACTTCTAATTGTTTAATAAAAAAACAAATTAAAAACTTTTATATAATAACCTTCATTCTATGATGTCAATATTAATGTATTTTTTAGATATAAAGATAATTCCATAAATTGTTTTTTTATTCATTTAATTTATACTTCTTACTATAATGCCTGAAATGAGATATAGAATTAAAGAAGAGTCTAATAAAAAAACTAGAATAGTTTTTAGTTTTTAATGGAGGAAAAATCCTAAATATGTTGCATAGTAAGTTTTATAATAGTAAATGATGAAAATTACATGAAGTAAATAATTCTTATCTTTGTTTCAATTATTATTCTTTTTAATACCAATTTTTTATATTTAATTCTTTTTTTATTTTTAATACTCTTATTGAACCTTTTGTTCTTTTTATAACTTGATTATTTCTAATAGATAAAGTAAAATTATGTTTTTGTGTTGTGTTATATTTCATTTTTGTATTTATATTAATTTTCATTGTTTGGAATATCCATTTTCTTATTTTAATCTATATTTGTTAGTATGTTTGTTATCGTTATTTTAAGTACTATTTATTTTGTTTTTACTAATACCACTCTTTACATCTCTTTAAAATATTACACAATTTTCATTAACAATTATTCATATCATTTATTATCTTTTCCATACACTCAAGTGTTATAACAACTTAAAGTTGAATAACTAATTTATATAGTTTTTAGTCATTAATAAGATAATTAAAAATATTAACAACTATTATTCACTCTTCAAAACTTGTTGATACATCATTCAAGATAAGTAAATAAATTAATGAATATCACTTCTTCATTTTCTAGTAATTGTAATGAAGTAATAACAAATTAAATTATTATTTATTATTGAAATCAAATTCATTTGATATTGTTAATATTTGAAACATGAATAGCATAATCAAACTGACATTATACATGTCATATTTACTTTGATAATTCGTAATTATAACTCATTATTATTTAAATAATGATATTACTGTATTATAAAATTGTTTATTTAATTAATGAAAATTTATAATCAATATTAATTTTGTTTATTTGATATTAATTTTGCATTTAACTATGATTTGTATTGTTTTGGTTAATGTTATTTAACAATATTTATTGTTTTATTGTTTTATTTTAATATTAGTTTTGATTAATAATTAATATTGATTTTATAACAATATCTTAAATATACATGTAATTTGATATTTTTCGTTTCGTTTTATTGTATCATTTCAATAATATTTTCATTTCAATACTTTCATTGAATATTGTTATTGTATTAATATTTATGTGCAATGCAGAGTTTATTAACACAATTAATTGAATAAAAAATATAGATTATTTTTATATTAGTTTTGTTTCATTTCATTTATAAATAGTGTGTTTTATTGTTCAAATGAATATTTAATATGATGAAATAGCCATGTTAAATATAGTTCAGATAATATTATTGCATATTTCATGTATATTCTTTTATATTTTAACATATTCAATCAAAAATGTTTATATATTCTCTATTTATTTAACATATTTCGAATGCATTTTCATATATTAACATGAGAGATGTTGTATATTTCGTTATATTAATTAAAAAATCGATGAGATTTAATGTCAACGTCATTCTTATCACTTTAATATTTCTTCTTTTTCTTACACCAGTTTATGTTTGTATTTTATTTATTTGTCATTGACATTTATTCAAATATTTCAATTATGAAATGGTTATAAAAATTATTCATTCTGTACAAATAAACAC